TATGGCAGTTAGCCCCAAACTCTTGGTTCAACGTTCTCGGCTATGTGGCCGGGTGCGAACTGCACGGGGTGGGGCCAAACTTCGAGGCTTTCGCCCACATGAACTACCTCAGCCGGACCCCTAAGGCAGGCGGTACCGGCTGGTATCAATTGACCAGCCACAGAGGCTACCTCATTGATGCGTTTCTTGATTCGTTTGGTCTTAGGTTTAAACAAGCTTCACTCGTTTGTTTTCGCCTAAGGGTTCTAAATCTGATTTCAAGGCTTCACTCACCTTAATCTCGTGATTTAGGGGTTTTTTGAGGATAGTTTGAATTAGCTTCACTCACTAATTAATCTAACCTCTCTTAAATCAGGTTTCACTCGCCTAATCTAAGGGTTTTTATGTTTAACTTCACTCGTCAAACACAAAGAAAACTTGGAAAGAAACGTTCCAAATTAACAAGCAATAAAGCTTTAATCAACAAAACAAACTTCTTCTTTAATTCAAAGTTTACAACCTTTATTTATAGACTCAAAACTAATTCTAAACCTAATCAAATTAGAAAACTAATCCTAATTGAATTAGAATCCCATTTGACCTAGAAAACCTAAGAAAACCGAAACTTGATCCCCAAGTTCCTAATTCGGATATGACTAAACTAACTAAGTTTAATTCAACTTAGATTAGGTTATTCAATCCTCCTAAAACACCTAGACACGCCTAAAAACCAAAGTCAAGTCCTAATCCACTTAGGAATTTACTTTGCTAAAAACAAGTCCTAATCCAATTAGGAATCTCTTTTGCTAAAGACAAGTCCTAATTCAAATAGGAACTCACTAGACCAAAACAATTCCTAATCAAAATAGAAATCCTAATGCTTAAAACAAGAAAAACCCTTTCAAGTGAAAGGTAAAAACTTGTAAGCCAAAATCTAATCTAAGAAACATTAAAGAAACGGACTAAGAAAGGAAACGTTGAATGCATCCGCATCATACTCCTCCTCTTGAAAACTAACTTGTCCTCAAGTTACATCATAACAAGGAACAAGATCATTTGCACTAAGAGAAGCACAAACGCCTTCACCAAGTAGCACTTGAAATGTATCATAATTCTCCCTATGCACGATTTTAAAAGGCCCTTCATCAAAGGATTCATGCTTGTCTTTGCGGTTGTTGTATAACTTCTGTGCACTCAAAGAAAGCCACACATAGTCACCTATCTCAAATGGAGACTTACGAACAAGTTGAAGCACTCTATCTTGCTGCTTGTCTTTCTTCTTCCTTTTACTTGAACCACCTTCATCACATGTAGAAAGAGAAATAACCTTGCTGCCATCATGTTGCATAGGTTCGAATTTAGGAGGTAAAGGTTTTAATCCAATCCTTTTCCCTTTATGTAGAACTGAAACCACATTCTTCTTTGCAAGGTAGATCACATCACGATCAAATTGCCAAGGACGGCCTAGCAACAAAGCACATGCATCCATAGGAACAACATCACACCATACTTTGTCTTCAAACTCACCAATTGTAAAAGAAACCAATGCTTGTTTCGAAACATGTACTCCTCCAACATTTGTGAGCCAATTAAGTTTGTAAGGATTAGGATGGTTCCTAGTCTCAAGCTGCAATGTATCCGTCATCTTCTTAGAGCATGCATTAGTACAAGAACCATTATCCACAATAACTGAACAACTACGCCCATTCACTAAGCATCTAGTGTGAAACAAGTTCTCCCTTTGTGCCATATCAGTCAAAGGAGTAGATTGAGCATGGAGAAGCTTTCTCAAAACAAGTGTGTTGTGATCCGGGGCTGCCTCACACAATGGTTGCTCTTCACACTCTTCCTCAAAGTCATATTCATTCTCCTCTCCTTCACGTTGCTCTTTTAGAAGTAAAGCAAGTTTAGCATCCTCCTCTTCTAAGGCTTGGTATCTTGTTAATGTCATGACCCTTCTATTAGGACACTCGGACTTGTAGTGACCTCTACCTTGACACTTGAAACACTTGATCTCCTCTTCAAGACTCTTCCTATGATGCATGAACGTAATGTGTCGTTCCATCAAAACAGTCATCTGTTCAAGCAAGTGAGTGATCGTTGATTTATTCTCCATGTTTGCGCACAATCAGTAATTTTCCCTCGAAAGTTTGTTGCTGTAGATTTTGCGTCACTTATCCAATGACCACGAAATTTTACAGTCTATAATTTTAGTCCAATAGGAATCCAACCCAAAAAAAATCACCGAAAAATACCAAGTAGATAGTTTGCAGTAACCTAAAACTTCCAACTGGTCCAGATCTGCGCCGAGAAGAACAAGAACCAAGAAACTAGCACGAATTGATTCTTGATTGCTCAAGAACAAGGATATAACGACTCAATAATCACACCAACAGCTCTGATACCATTTGATGCGTTTCTTGATTCGTTTGGTCTTAGGTTTAAACAAGCTTCACTCGTTTGTTTTCGCCTAAGGGTTCTAAATCTGATTTCAAGGCTTCACTCACCTTAATCTCGTGATTTAGGGGTTTTTTGAGGATAGTTTGAATTAGCTTCACTCACTAATTAATCTAACCTCTCTTAAATCAGGTTTCACTCGCCTAATCTAAGGGTTTTTATGTTTAACTTCACTCGTCAAACACAAAGAAAACTTGGAAAGAAACGTTCCAAATTAACAAGCAATAAAGCTTTAATCAACAAAACAAACTTCTTCTTTAATTCAAAGTTTACAACCTTTATTTATAGACTCAAAACTAATTCTAAACCTAATCAAATTAGAAAACTAATCCTAATTGAATTAGAATCCCATTTGACCTAGAAAACCTAAGAAAACCGAAACTTGATCCCCAAGTTCCTAATTCGGATATGACTAAACTAACTAAGTTTAATTCAACTTAGATTAGGTTATTCAATCCTCCTAAAACACCTAGACACGCCTAAAAACCAAAGTCAAGTCCTAATCCACTTAGGAATTTACTTTGCTAAAAACAAGTCCTAATCCAATTAGGAATCTCTTTTGCTAAAGACAAGTCCTAATTCAAATAGGAACTCACTAGACCAAAACAATTCCTAATCAAAATAGAAATCCTAATGCTTAAAACAAGAAAAACCCTTTCAAGTGAAAGGTAAAAACTTGTAAGCCAAAATCTAATCTAAGAAACATTAAAGAAACGGACTAAGAAAGGAAACGTTGAATGCATCCGCATCACTCATGATAAGAGGTAAAGAAAACAAGTGGAAGGATTGGCGAAGCACCTTCCTTATCATTGAGAGTTCAGACACGGAGCTGAACCAGCGCTTCAACAGATGGAATAGGGATCCGTCTCTTCTGGCAGGCGGTCGCAGCATGCCGCCTGTTCCCCCAAGAGCTAAGAAAGAGATCCTAGACAAAGGACTCTTTAAAGTGGAGACGAGGGTTGACTCTACTACAAGGGTGCGAGAGCAAGTACCCTTGCACTGCGTCCCGAGCTTCAAATGGCTCTATGACGAGTACTTTTTGGCCGCCTGTGGCCTCAGCAGTCGGTGCTCAAGAGGTAGCCGGCCTGTCGAATACTCTGTTTTGCCATGCATTACTGTTATGACTTTTTATTAACTTTGGTATTTGTTCTTTCAGCGGACGCCATGAGCAAAATTACCGCCTCCAAGACTGCGGCGGCTATGTTGCGTGCCTCTATCATGCAACAATCTTCAGCCGACTCTCCTAACAAGGAGGCGCCCTTGGTAAGTTGCAAGCCCTTCACCCTTTCTCCTTTTTGAAGTTGGGTTTATACAGATACTGATCGTGTGCTTGCTTTTTTTTTTTTTTTTTTTTTTTTTTTTTTTTTTTTGGGAAATTCCCATTGATACACTCCAGGTATTGACTTTTCTCAGCGGTACCACATTTTTTTTTTGACTTCCTGCTGATACACTTGAGGTTTTGACTTTATAATTGACGTGATTAAGTCTGTTAATAAGACGTTAATAACTTATTTTATTCACATTTTAGGCTTAGTAATAAATGAAATGACTAATATACCCCCATTTTTTTAATCATTTCCCTCCAAAATTTCCCCCTTAATGTTGCTGTTATTTCCCTCCAACTTCCCAACCCTTATTCTCTCCCTATAAAACCCCACTTTCCCTCTTCTATTCTCCATAAAATTTCCCCTCAATTTTTTCGAGCTCACCTCTTCTTCTTTTCTTTTTATTTCTGTTGGTCCCTGCTGTTCTGACATGGCTGGTTCTGCAGGCAGTGGTTCCTCTTCTGGCAGCAGATTTGGGAGGTCCATGTGGGTGAGACGAATTCAATGCAATTGTAATCCACCTAGACTTGCTGATATTAGGGTGTCTAACTCAATTTCGAATCCAGGGAGGTCATATTACAAGTGCAGGCATTGTGGTTTGTTCATGTGGGTTCCTGAAGATCAAATTATAGCCAATCATGAAGAATCATCCAATTTGAGAGTATTAAGAGAGGAATTTATTGATTTCACAGACAAAGCATATGAGTTTGCAAGCTATGTTTATATGGTTGTTAGAATTTCTCTTGTGATTTATCTTATTTTACTGTTTGTAACCTTGAAATGAGCATTGTGTATTTAGTTGCCATGTACTTCAGAGACTAAGTGTACTAGGAACAAATTATAAAAGTAAGGTTGTATTTTCTTGGTTTTGAATGAAAATGGAAAAATAATTTGCATTTTGACTGAGTAAGGTTGTATTTTCTTGGTTTTGAATGAATCAATCATTGAGATCAACTAAAATTAACAAGCTGAACAAAATGGCATCAGTTGCCAACATTCATTAAAGTCTGGAAAATCATTCAAAATGTGGCCACCATTCTTAATACAGACAAAATGGCATAATTCTTCAACATTACCATGTAAGTTCAGCAAAAAAAATTCAAAACATATAGAGTTGACTACAAATTTTGACTTTCTATCCAAATCACCAAAAAAAAGCATTTGCTACTACTTTGCAAAACATAACACTTGCTAGCTTTGAGAGTTTCCTTGAGACATCTGGATTGGTTGGCTAGGCAACTATGAGGCTGTCAGCACTGTTTGTTGCTCAGCTGAGGGTCTGCCCTTCTTTCCCTTAGTTTTTTTGGTTGAAGCTGCTGCTTGAGATGTTGAAGGCTGAGTTGCTGCAGACTGAGATCCAAGTGCTTCAGATGGCTTTGCTGCCTTAGCTGCCTTTGCTGCATTACTTTGGTCTCTGACCCTAGGGTTCTTGATGACAACAGGCTCATTTGTCTTCAACTCTTTTCCTGTTAAGCCTCCCTTGCAGGTTGTCTTATTATGCCCAAAGCAACCACATTTGCTGCATTTCACTGTTTTTGACATTTTTCCAGGTTGCTCCTCACCTTCTTCCCTCTTTCTGTTCCTGCTTGGTTTTCCAATTCCCCTCTTCATCTTAGGAGGCATGATGATTCTACCTGACTCATCTGCAGGCCATTGCTCTGTGTCAGGAATTGGGTTGATACAGACACTGTAAGCTTGCTTATAAGTCTTCACAGAGTACCAGGAACTGACAAAGTCATGTGGGTCCAACTTGGCATCAATGCAAGCCCTAATGGCATGCCTACAAGGCACACCTGTCAGTTGCCATGCCCCACAAGAACAAACTTTCTTGTTTAAGCTGAGAGGAAATTGTGATCTTCCCTCATGAATTTCATATTCACCAGGGCTGGACTTGAATACTCTGCATTTTGAGCTAGCTTTTCCTATTTCTTTCACTAGCTTCACAATTTTTGGAGTTATGTCTTCATCATTCAAAGACTTTGCATTCTCCATTCTTGTTTCTATTCTAACCATACATACCCTCCTTATTCCTGCACAACATTATCTTACTTAGAAAAACAAACCAAATCAGAATAAAATGACAATGTTAATACAGTAAGAGGTGGGTTAATACCTTCTAGCAAATTCAAAATAGGCCTACACCTATTCACCCCTAGAGTAGAGTTGAAGCTCTCTACAAAATTGGATGTATTGGAGTCATTGCAAACATTTGGGTCAAATGCATGCTTACTCCACTTAGACTTCTCTCCCAATTCTGCAAACCAAGTCATGACATCATCTCCTCCTGCTTTCTGCAACTTCTCCATATCTTTCCTGAATGTGAAAGTTGAAGAAGCATTGCATGCTCTCCAGAATAGAACATACATCATAGGGCCTGGAAATAGCTTCTTGTAGTTTCTACTTAGATGCCTACAGCAGAACCTCCTGTCAGCTTTTGGCCATACTTGTTCTAGTGCAAGTTCAACTCCCTGAAACAATGATTACAGCATGAGCATTTGTATGTTTGCATATAAAAAAAAAAGAGAATGAAAATTTGAAAAAAGCAACAAACACTTGCCTTTTGCCTATCAGAAATAATAGTCCAATGCTCTCTTGATGAATCTTTTACAATGTTCAGCAAATGCCAAAAGAAGTAGGTCCATGACTGCTTGTCTTCTTGGCCAACTACAGCATATGCTATGGGGAAGATCTCATTATTGCCATCTATTCCCACAGCAGAGAGCAATACCCCCCCATAGTTACCTTTGAGGTGGGTTCCATCTACACCAATTAAAGGTCTAACACCCCTTAAAAGACCTTTCCATTGTCCAGTGAATGATATAAAAAGGCTTGAAAATTGAAGTTGTTTAGGGATAGACTCTGTTTCATTCCATGCACAAAAAGCCTTGGACTCTGGGTTTGTTTCTATGCACATCTTAGCATACATTGGCAGTAGTCTATATGACTCATCATGCCCTCCAAACAACTGCTCAATCACATAGCTCAATAGAACCCTTTGGTGCAACATCTCCATCAGAATCCTCATCTTCTTCACCAAGATTGAAACCAGGATTGGGTTGTGTCTCTATAGACTCAGAGCTGTCTACAACAAAAGTCATCTTTCTTCTAACTCTAGAATCACTTGTGCCTTGCACCTCACCCACATTGTCCCCAGCACTACTGCCCTCACTCATATTTACATTAACCCTAGAAACTGATCCTTGCAGCTGACTCACTCTGTCACCAACACCTAGCATCCTTTTCTCAGTCACAGTTGATCCTTTCACTAACCCCTTTCTTATAGTTGTTGATCTAGGAACCTTTTTCCTAAACATAGTTATTTGTGAAGCATTTGTCAATGGGTCAGCATCAGAAGCATTAGGTGTGTCAGTTACTGCCGAAGGTAAAATCTAGGACTCCTTCTAAGTGGTAAACCCTTGAAGACTGTGTTTGGAGACTTGGGAGATGGTGGTTGCATTGGGGATGTTTTAGTTGTAGCTTTCTTCTTACCCTTTGCTGCACCCTTAACCTTCCTAGAATTCTCTATCTTTTCCATACTTTTCTCAAACCCTTTTCTACCCTTGGTATACTTAGTAGCAGATTGATTTGTTTCATCTTGGGGTGACTCATAACCCTCAGTATACCTAGGTGGAGAGGACTCATTATTAAGATTGATATCCTCAATAGAAAGGGGAGGTTCAGTTTGGGAAGGGTAAAAAAGGGGAGGTCTAGTTTCAGGAACAAGTTGATCTGTTTCAATTTGAGGGGGTTGTTCATTTGAGGGTGCAGTATCAGAAGGTTGATCAATATGGGGTGGTTCAGATTGGGAAGGTGCAGCAAAAGGTTGTGCGGATTTGGACTTGTTCCTTAGCCTATTTGTCATTCTATTCAAGGCACTTGGTTTCTTAGCAAAACCTACCCAAATGTGATAAATCTCACACTCACCTAGGGTGTGAATCATCTTAAAAAGATCAGCATCATCTAGTAAAGGGTGATTCTTTTCATTGAAACCATGACCAAATGATGGGTTGACTATAGGAAACTCAGTGTCTACTGCAGCAGTGTCCTCAAAATCCATAACCAAATCAAGCAAATTACATCTATCTAAGTCAACAGCAAGATCAACATGCTTATCAAAGTAATAAAACCTTAACACAACATCACCCATTCTGCAAAAGAAGGTAAACATTATACACACTTACAACATGCATATAAATTCAAAATCATATCCAACAATCCACAACATTCAAATAAATTCCAAATCAGGTATCCAATTACCTATAACATGCACATAAATCCCAATTCAGGTATCCAACAATCAATCAAATAAGCAAATACATTCCAATTCAAGTAAATCAATGAAATAGGATCATGCCATTTCATCCAAATTAAATACATACTCTACATAAATAATTGAACACACATAATCACGCACCTAATATACCTGAAAAAAACCCTAAAATCGCACAAATATACAACATTTACATCATGAATTTAACTTAAAATCGCAAAGAAAAAAGAACATCACAACTGCACCAAATCATGCAAAAATGAACAGTAGTAGTGCTAAAGTACCTGAATTGTGCTAGATTATCCTCTAATGATTTTGTAGACCAAAAAGATCAGCGCAATTTCCTTGCAAAACCCTTGGACTTCGTCTAGAATGATGCAGAGAGCAGAGGAGAGAGAGAGATGAAATTTGAACAAGGAGTTTGTTTTGTGTCAAATCGACATAAATGGAAGGGGAAGGGGTTTAATTATGGGTGATGGAGGGAAGGATTAGAAGGGGGCATTTTATTCTTTTCACCTAATCTCAGCTTTTAACCTAGAATTACTAAGTTATTAACGTTTTATTAACAGACTTAATCACGTCAATTATAAAGTCAAAACCTCAAGTGTATCAGCAGGAAGTAAAAAAAAAATGTGGTACCGCTGAGAAAAGTCAATACCTGGAGTGTATCAATGGGAATTTCCCTTTTTTTTTTAGACAGGCACCTCAAGAACTTCTTCCTCCCAACAGCCGGACTCCAAGACCCGGATGACGACTGTTGCGAGCTCTCCTGGCGCTGCCAGGAAACATGCGGCGGCTGAGAAACAGCCGCCCCCTTCTCAAACTCTAAGCAGGCCGCCTAGAAGTATGGAGCTGTCCTTATGAATTCGGGCTTGCTTCCTTTTTACTATGTCTAACGTGCTTGTTTATGCTTGATGTAGCCGGTCCTCAAGAACCGGACCTGGTCGAGGTGACCAAGTCCATAATCAAATTCGTCCCTCCAGCTGAGAGAGAGGCGGTCAGGGGTGTCGGCACCCTTGACCTAGACGGAATTGTAGGACTCCTTGCTGAGGTCTACTTAGTATATTTTTGTTGTTTGATTCCAGGACGCCTGTTTTTTGTTTGAAACCTGACACCTGTTTCCTTTTACTCAGTCTCTGCTCCGAGTGAACGGCCTTCGCAAGCCGCTTGATAGGAAGAACAAAGAGGTAAAGGCTGCTAAAGCTATGGTCGCTTCTGACTGTGATAAGGCAATGTTTCAAATTGCCCAAAATGAGATTTTGACAACTGATATTCTTTATTATCAGGCGCAGGCTACCTCTGCTATCCGGACTTAGTTGGTGGCGGCTCAGAAGAGAAATAATGAGCTGGAGACGACCATCAACAATCTCAAGGCCGAGCTGAAACCTCTTCGCCAAAAAATGACCTTATACGACTCCTTGGAGAAATCCTTGGAGCGCGTTAAGGAGCGCTTGGCGACTCAGGAGAAGAGTCTCACTGCGAAGCTCTCGGCAAAGGCCGAGCAGGAAAAGCAGGATCTGGTCCGAGAGATGATGGTAGACTCGGCTCAGATCCAGCGCCTGACCTGGGGTCGTCTCTTCCCCAATGCCGACTTTGCCTCATGGGAAAAAATGTATGGCCAGTGCTCTGAAAGATATAATCAAGAGATCCTGGCGGCTGGTGAGGACGAGGCGTTGGAGGAGGAGGATCCGGTAGTGGCCCTAGTGCCGCTTGGGGTAGATGCGTCGAAAAAAGATGCAGCTGAGGCCGAGTCAAGCAAGAAGAATGCTGACCAGGCGGCAGCTGCTACTGTTGAAGATCTGCCCCCATCTTAAGCTTTTGTCTTCTATTTCTTCGGCCTGCGTGCCGTTTGTTTTTCCTTACCCGGCCAGGGGGCCGGGGCTCTGAATATTTTGCCGGTCTTTATGGCCGGCTTCTTTTGTATTTTTTACCTGGCCAAGGGGCCGGGGTTTTGAATATTTATGCCCGGCTGTTAATATAACTTAGGCGATCATTATTTTAGGTCGCCTTTTTACCAAAATGTTTGTTCATTTTCGAATGTGCTTTTATTTTGCTAAGCATCGAAACTTTGATATCCAGTTGCATACTATACCGACTGTTTGCATGGCCGATAGTTATAGACAGGTAAGAGATAGCCACACTGCCTATGCCCCTGGACGATTAGTTGTCTGTTTCCAAGCTAGGCGATCAGTCGACCATTTATCCAAATCTCACTTTAAAGACTGGATCCCCTTTAGGCGGGCGGTCCTGTCATTTTTAGTATTAACCAAGTAGGAAGGTGGTTTCTTACCTGCCATGGTTTTAAGCGAGAGAAACTAGGCGGTCTGGGCCGGCAAGTCCCTGCTGTGTTAACTTAGTGAGAACAGGCGATATATGAACACCTTTTTAGTTTCATACCAAGTTTTAAGGAGTGACCAAGTAAACATGGTTGTTACTTGGACGCCGAGTGCCCGAGTAGTAGGGGCTTCAAGCGGTGGGTACCGATTGTTCCCCTTTATTTGCCAATGTTTGTTGGCTATTAACTCATACGGTACCAACTGTTCTTATCCCAAGTAGTTCAGTCGGTTAGTTGACACGGATGGTTACTGCAAACACTTGTTGGACCTGATTAGTCGATTAAGTGAGAGGTATCCTTGTCTGAGAAACGACTACGTGGTTGTCTTGGTTAGACAATCGTATAGGTGTCGTGTAATTATTTTATAGAACAATGTTCCACCCAAAAGGGAGCTGCTCTCTGCGACAAATTTCATCCGGATGGATGCCGCCGGACGCCTGCTATGATGTTGGGACAGGTCGGATTAGTTTAACATTTGAATCAGTTGGCATGGCGCCTGATCTGATCATTTCGGCCATGAGCCTTTGATAGTTCTTGGTGAACTATGTTATGGGAGAGTAGCCAACTGTTTGTCAGTAGGCATGCCCCTCTTAGTACAAAATTGAATGAAATAGTAAACTTTTATTAAGTAGCTCTCGGCTATTTACATTATTCAAAAATAATATTTCTTAAGATTATCTACATTCCAGGTTTGAGGCAACGATTGGCCGTCTGGTGTTTCCAAACGGTAGGTACCGTCCCTGACCTCTTCATAGATTCGGTAGGGTCCTTCCCAATTGGGAGTTAATTTTCCAGACTCAATAGCCCTACCGACTGCTTCCATCTTTCTTAGTACAAAGTCCCCCACTTTGAGTGGACGCCTGTGTACTTTTTTGTTGTATGATCTGGTCATTCTCAGGCGGTAAATTTCATGGCGCAAGACTGCATTGCCCCTTCTTTCTGGGAGTGAGTCCAAGGCCAGGCGCATGGATTCCCAGTTTGCCTCTTCGTCATATAACATTACTCGAAGGGTCGGCTCGTAGTGTTCAATTGGAAGAACAACTTCTGCCCCATAAGTTAGAAGAAAAGGGGTCTCTCCAGTCGATCCTTTTTCAGTCGTCTTAATGGCCTAGAGAACATGTGGTAGTTCATCTGCCCACAGGCCGCCTGCTCTCTCAATATTTTTCTTGAGTCCGTCTGAGATGATTTTATTAAAGGCTTCTACTTGGCCGTTTGCTTGTGGACGGCCGACTGATGCAAAGTAATGTGAGATACCTTGGTCACCCAACCAGCTTTTGAGGACAGGCGTCTCAAATTGGGGACCATTATCAAAAACCATAGA